ACAGTTAGGTACAAAGATTAACATACAAACAGTTACATGCAAACAGTTAGGTACAAATATTTACATACAAACAGTTACGTACAATTTGAATTTTACAGTTATGGAAGGGACCCATCAGTTGAAACAAATAACATTCCTCCATGTTCCATCTGTTTTGTTAGTAGTTTCATGTTGTTCTGGTAAATGTTCTTCTGTATAAGGTATTTGATGATTGTCTGATTTTTAAATTAAAATGTTTAAAGCTGGCATTCCGTGACCCCGCCATTGATGCCATCTACCTGCTGTCCGATGGCAAGCCTGACACAAGCACATCGCTGGTGCTGAGAGAAGTTGCCAAGCTGAACGAAAAGAGGAAAATCAACGTCAACACGATCTCCTTCAATTGCACCGACAGGTTAGTGGTGGCACTTAGTAGTTTAGAACCATTGCATTTTACTCGTAGCAGTCTTGTCATGTCTTTGTTACTGTTATTTCATGGGCTATAATCTTGTTATATCATCTGTATCAACATGTGAATCTCATTGTTTATCATCACCAGTGGTTTGTCGTTAGCCAGCTTACTGAGTATCATCTGTATCAACATGTGAATTTCATTGTTTATCATCCCCAGTGGTTTGCGGTTTGCTTGCTTACTGAGTATCATCATGTTTGATTTCTATAATATTATTACTCGTAGGAAAGGTAACATCCAATCCACCATTTCACTTTCACAGGAAAATTCATAAGTAATGTTTATTGTGAAATGACATGTCACCTGACATTATCCTGACATTATTTCCTTTCCTTCAGCACTGCTAACAACTTTATGAGATTGTTGGCGACGGAGACAGGCGGCAGGTATCATCGCATTCATGAAGATTTTGATGCACAGCTTTTCATTCATAAACTGTTGTCTGAAGGGCTCGGTGACAGTGAGGTTTGTCTTCAGTTTTGTTGGTTGAAATTAAGGACCCAATGAACAATTCTCTAATCCCAATGAACAATTCTCTAATCCCATGAACAATTCTCTAATCCCAATGAACAACTCTCTAATCCCAATGAACAATTCTCTAATCCCAATGAACAACACTCTAATCCCAATGAACAATTCTCTAATCCCAATGAACAACACTCTAATCCTAATGAACAACTCTCTAATCCCAATGATCAACACTCTAATCCCAATGATCAACACTCTAATCCTTATTAACATCACTCTAATCCCAACTAACATCACTCTAATTCCAATGAACAACACTCTATTACCAATAAACAACACTCAAATCGTAAATGTAAAAAAAAAGGGACTAAATCTGAACATTTAAGAATGAAATATTTGATTAAAAAAAACAAAACTTTCAACTATCTGATAGATTAGAAAAGTAAATTATTTTATTGTTATTATCTATACATTAAATAAATTACTTAAATTGAAGCATTTGAAACTTTGATGCATTATGGGTGCAGCATTGTCGGGGGGGGGGGGGTTGTCTGCCTCAACCTTAAAGGAACATAAAACCTTGTTTTGTTTGTATGACACAAAAACATGTGAAACAAACGTATGCAGCACAAATTTAGAAAATTAAATTTTTTTATTGTTATTATCTATAAATTAAATAAATTACTTAAATTTAAGCATTTGAAACTTTGATGCCTTATGGGTGCAGCATTGTCGGGGGGGGGGGGGTTGTCTGCCTCAACATTAAAGGAACATAAAACCTTGTTTTGTTTGTATGACACAAAAACATGTGACACAAACGTATGCAGCACAAACGTATGCGGCACAAACGTATGCAGCACAAACGTATGCAGCACAAACGTATGCAGCACAGACGTATGCAGCACAAACATATGCGGCACAAACATATGCGGCACAAACATGTGTAGCATGATTTTAAAAAAATTGAGTGGTTACAAAAATAAATCTTCTAATACATGTATCCAATAATTGACCTCTAGTACCCTCACTTACCAACCTTTGAAGGGGATGACTTGCAAAAATTAGGGAATGAAATCTCTCAGGCCAGGAAGTTCTTGCAGCAAGCTAAAGTGTACAAGTAAGTGATGTCATTGTGTTGTACGGTACAACTGAAGTGTACAAGTAAGAGACATCATTTCATTGTACATTACAACTGAAGTGTACAAGTAATTTCATTCTGTTGTATGGTACAACTGATGTGTACAAGTAAGTGATATCATTGTATTGTATGGTAAAACTGAAGTGTACAAGTAAGTGCTATCATTGTATTGTTCAACTAAAGTGTACACGTGATGTCATTGTGTTTATGGTACAAGTAAGTCATGCCATTGTGTTGTATGGTACAACTGAAGTGTACAAGTAAATAAGTTACTGGTGAAATTTAACGTGGTTCAAACTCCAAGTCAGATCAGCATAAAACAAGATGTGGTATTCAAATGAATTTATTAAGAAATGATGACATCATTTCAAAAACCTACCGAGTAGCTTGGAGTTTTTGTTGTTGTTTTTTTTCTAGAAAAAGCTTGTTTAAAGAAATAATAAAAAAAAGAATCAATATTCATTAAGCCTATTCCTGCTAATATTATTATAGTGTGATAACTACCACAAACTGTAAATCAGTGAAAGGAAGAGGAGTGTTGGAAACATACGGGCACATTAAAAATCGTAGTCACATAGCACGCCACTCATCCATGATTAACATGGAATACTAAACTTAGTTTTTCCCCTTTTTCCCGGCCCCCACTCGTCATTTTTTCCGTGTTTTAGACTAAATAGCAACTAATAATTTCAATGAAAAATGTTAAGTTCTTTTAATTGACCAGCTAAGGTGACCTTTAACCTTTGTTGTTTACTTTGTATTCTATAGGGCCCTGTATAAAGCCAAAGCATCACAAGGTGTTGAAAGACTGAGTAGTCCAGATAAAGGTGAACAGCTTAGATTGTATATTAACTTAAAACATACAAGTAGTATGATAAAACTATCAACAAAATTTAAATAAATCTCTACAGTGAAAATAATTTGAAATAGAATTCATTTTAAATAAATTTATGTTTTAACAGTTAAAAATATTAAAATAATAAATCTCTTTTCCTGAACAGGACACGCTCCGTTTGTCGTAGGGAAACCAAGACTAGTTCCTACAAAAGCATAACACATCTTCGATCAAGGGACTTGGCCCGATATTCACGTCATTGTTATTATGTTAATGAAACCAAAACTGTTCCAAATAGGATAAGAAATAATAAATATTTTGTTGAACCCAAGCACCGCTGTGTAAATAATTTCAAGCCAAGCTAAAATCCTATCTCTTTTCTTAAGTCTTAAAGTAAACAATTAAGACAATGGGACATTTTAAATTTGCATTTGTGCAATTAATACTATTCAACTGTTTTATAATATAAAGTAATTTTGGCAAATTTAGAAATTATTCAGTTTTTAGGTGCTGTTTATTTTCAAGTCAAAACTATCATTAAAAGATATTACCCGGCTCACAAGTCAAAATTGTTAAATTTTTTTCTTATCTACACAATTTTGGAACTTAATGTTTCAAATAAATTTTTTCTCTCCTATTTTTTTTATTAACGGCTAGCGAAATATTAAAATTGCTATTACTACACATATTTTAACATTACAATTATTACAAATATTTATTACCAAGATGTATAAATTGATATGGTAAACCAATAATTTATGTGAACATTATTTTCTCTTAACTCAATATGTAAGAATAAAAAATAATTTTTCAGCTTAGTAGATTTGAAAAATTCCCTTTATTTAACCAAGAAACACTCCTTTGATGTTAATTTTAGAAGTTTTCTTTTTCCATGGATTATCATTTTAAAACTGTATTGATTTTTTTCTTACAAACAATTTTCACACTGCACATCTGTGATAAAGCAGCAGAGGAAATTTTCAAAAATAATTACTTTTGACCAAGCCTGTGTATAGAAGTGAACATTTTACTTTTTTGTTAGAAAGAATAAATTTGACAAATGATTCATTTATTCTTATAATCAAATTCATTGAAGTTTAAAAGGTCAAAGTTGATGTGTCAGAGGGGAAAAATGAAAATGTTTGAATGAATTAAAACTGATTTTGTTGTTTGAAATGAGAATGAGAATGTTTTGGGTTAAACTGTGAATACTTCCTGTGATATATTAATGAAGAAAAATGATTAATTTGATGAAGTACCGGGGACCATCGTAAGCCTTTCAACAGGCCCATTCATTATGGACGTTTTTCAAATTTTCTGAATATAATTACAATTTTAATGATGTTTAAAGTCCACATATTATCTTTTGCATAAATAAATGTTGATGTACAATAATTATTTTATGATAAATTATTTTATGATAGATAACTTATTTAATTCTTGTCTTAGTTAAAAACTCTTAACTTTGTTGTTCAGCTCGCGCCTTTATTGTTATGTTGGTCAGCTTTATTTGCCTTATGCACAGCTTTTGTATTTTTACTTGTCAGCATCTCACTTATGCCATGGCAGTATGTCATTATACTAAAGATGAATGACAAGTTCAATTGGGAAGAGAAATGTTCATTCAGATTCCTGTTTAAATTGTTCAATATTTTTAAAAAAATTTATGTACATTTAAAAAAAATGAAACTATCATTTTTGCCACCTGAAAATTATTTTCCATAATTTACTGCAAACTTCTGTCTAGAACAAATATTTCTATTATTAAAGATGGAACTACATTTTTAGTTTGTAGTCTCATATTTTTAAAAACTTTTTTAACATGTGTTAGTAATAGATTGGTGGACATTAACTGCCTAGACAGTCTGTTAAGTTCCTACAACAGGAAATAAAATATAATCAATATCATTACAGTGAATGTCAGGGGGAAACAAAAAAGGAAGTGGGGGGAGGGGGGAAATATCAATTGAATCAGATATTGTGTTACATCTTCTCTTTCTTAGTTGTAACTAATCTAGTGAATCTGTTGTGTTAAAATGAAATTATGTAATAAATAATTAGAAAATAGAATTAACCGTTTAAGTTAATAGAAATTTCTATCGATCTCAGATCAATTTACACTTCTTCCTCAATATGAATAAAAAAGGGAAAGGATATTTACTTATCAAAAACACACATTTTAATTTCAAAAATTTAAATGACTCGATATTAATATATTAGTTAGGGCTAAATGAAAATTTCATAGTGACAAATGCTTAACATCCCATAAATAACTGTTGAAATCAAAGATATTTTAAAAGTGAGGATCAGATTTCACCGTAATATTAAGCTTAGCATTATGCAATAACTTGAGATTTCAATGCAGACAGAAGGGTATGACAAATGGTGACAATATGTAAACAAACTGATAAAAATGTAATCCTTGCAAACAGGAAAGAACGGAAAAATTCAGGAAAGACCAAGATGAGTTGAGAATATAGATTCCAGCAGTCACGTCATTCTGTCTTTCAAGAGATACTTTGAATGTAACAATTTTTAGTTTTTAAAAAGCACCCACAGACTCTCTAATTTTTCTGCTTGCTTGAGAAATTTTGTGCGTACTGAATAAGGTCATCGCAGTATTTTGTGGTGCGATGTTTGTGCTTGACTTGCTCAACTTCTCGGACAAGCATGTGGGGAGACAACTCTGAGGACTTTTTTAATACTTCTGAGAAACAAAAGAAAAAAAAAAAGAATTAATATTTCATACAGTTCTCAGTTATGAAAGTTATTTTAAAAATACACATTTTTTGTAATTAATTATGCTTATTTCATTTTTACATTTCTGACTGTTGTATATAATTTAGTAATTAGTAGTACATGATATTCATGATTTTATTACATCTTTTTCAAATCAAAATATAATTAGTAATTTTGTAAAAGCTTGTTTCCTCTTTTGCAAGATAGGACAGTTTCAATTACTTCCACTACAAGTTTTGTTAAAAGTGAAAAAAAAAGATGTTCCTTGGAGTTACCTAGAACAGCTTCTTGAATTGTACTCTCTGGGTCATCCAAGTGAACCAGCAGACCCTTGTAGATGGCCTCAAGATGGGCACGATACAGTCCAACATCATAGCCTCCTTGGAAGCAGTCAAAGTAAGCCAGCAGTGTCTTGGTCATAGTCAAGCGTATCTCATCACTGCTGTCATCAAGGCGCTGAAAATAAAAATTCATCCACATTTTTTTTTAAAAAGTGGTGGAATGGGTCACAACCAAGAATGGATTCAAATGGATTGTCCCGAACTAAAGACAAACAGTCTTTTGGAAAGATTATAAGACACAATAATCTATATTAACTAAACCAAAAGATTAAAGGACAAAATAATTTATATTAACTAAACCAAAAGATTATAATCCACTTGTCGAACGCAGACACTATTCTCATTATTCTTTTTTAAAGAAAACCTGAAAGAAAAACTCCATGAGCACAAGTCTTACCTTGAGCAGTTCAGGATAAATATTGTGAAGTCTGTCTTGACCTAGATCTGTCCCCATGAGATCAAAGACTCGAGTCATGACACGACAAGAAATCAGTCTCGTTGTCTTGTTGTCATCTTCTATCAAAGTGATGAGCTGCGTCAGCACTGACTCCACAACTGGGTCCAGCTAAGGAGATAAAGGTATGTAAAATTATTATTCTAGGATGAGATTATTGCGATATGAAAAAAAAACGCTTTTTTAAATTCATGAAAATATATCAATGGATAAAGCAAATGAATATCAGTTTTATTTTTAGAAATTCTATTCAATATAAACCAGAATGTATTGCACTGCTTCAATCGATCTGAACCTTGTCATTCATTTTAAACAATTTTTATTTCAAATAATTTGCTTGATTTTTACTTAAAACAAATTCAAAAAGATGGCGATGAAAACTTATGAAGCTATTATTTTATTATTATTGATAGTAGTTATTATAATTTTGTCAATGACCAATGTTATTTCACCTTTTCTTTAGTTAAGACACCGCTCTGCAGAAGGGCCCACATGCATGAAATCGCAGTTGTACGAATGGCACCCGCTGTCCGACCAGCCTTCCACACACAGTTGGGCAGAATCATGTCTCGCACAACTGTGGTGGCAAACTCTTCAAAGCGGTGCTCAGAGTCCAGTGTGCTGGGAGCCGAGAGGACCAGGCGGGACAGCAATGAAAAGAATTTCAGCCTTAGCTCCGGATCTTTGTTTGGGTCCAGGTTTGTGATGATGACAGGAATGATGTCATCAAGATGTCGACCAACAACTGGTCCTAGTGTTCAAGAAACAAATTTAAAATTAATTTAAGGAACTCACTATTAAAATTTCAATTTAGTGTTCCTTAATATCCCATATATACTCATCTATAAATGTAGGGCAGTTTTTTTTTACCACCATATATGAAATATGCTGAGGGTAAAACTTGGGGCTATGCAATTCTGTGACTTTTATAATTTTGGAAGATTTTACCTTGCAGAAATCACTGCTCTGTACACATACACAGCACTGCTTTGTACACTAAACTTTGGCCGGTGTCAAGTACAGTCGGTGGTATCAAGTGACATTCCCGCAATTTATATATGATGATAGAGGCTTATAGACTTAGCAGTCAGTGATGACGCAAGTGACATGGTATCAGATTTCAGTCAAAATTGTATTGTAATGAGCACGAAACCATGGATATGTCGACTAATTGTTTGAAAATGAAGTTTACGACTAAAGTTTCTCAACTTATACATGAGTATATACGGTAATTTTAACAATTTAAGAACATGGAATCTCGATAGACAATACAAATATTAATGGGATTAAAACTTATAATAGTAGAAGAATAAGGAAATAAAAAAGCACATTTAAAGTGAAAAATTGATAAACAATACAGCAAAATATCGTGCTTCCTATTTCATTATCTTAAAACTTGATCTCAGCCTCCCTGATAACATCCCAATGCAAGAATTACCAGCTTCTATAAGCAGGGCATCAAAGATTTGCCTTTCGACAGAATGATTAGTCCACATGTTGATTCCGTCTCCAAACGAGTCAATTAGAGGCTTGGTGTGGTTCTCAAAAAGCTGGGCCTTGTCAGTCAAGCCTTGAGCTGTGGCTAGTTGTTCTAAACAGTTGTGGGCCTGGAAGGGCAGAATAATGTGACATTTAAACTTCAAGACAAGGAAAAAAAAAAAATTTAATTTGCTAAAATATCTCTTGGGATCTTATGGTACTAGCCGATAGTTTGATGTAGCATTGAAAAAGAACATTTTTTCAAAATAATTAGAAAATGAAAATAAAAATCATCAGGTGATATTGTAAAAAAACAATGAGTGCCATTCAACAATATTGAGTAGTGGGATTAAAACAATAAGTGGCATTCAACAATATTGAATAGTGGGATTATAACAATTTTATCGCAAACTGAGTCGTTGTTCAGTTATTTGAAAATTTTTCTTAACAGCAGGCCGAAATTCTCAGCATCATTCATTTTAAACATCACATGGAATAGAGTACTCACCCCATTGACCACATCACTACTCTGGGTCAGGGCAACAACACTTATGAGAAGGTTGAACACCTGTTGGCTGACCACTTGAATGTCAAAACCCATCAAGGTTAGCATGGACTGGCAGAAGTTTAGTATCTAACAGGAAAGAAACAGGATCTAATTTAAGTTATCACCTTAAAGAAAAAATTTATTTATTTTGGGGCTTAATCATTTTTCGTTTAACTACCGGTACTTAATAAGATAGGAAGGGAAAGATAACTACTGGACCACCCATGAGTTATACCCCATTGGAGCATGACTGAATAAGATAGCAAGGGAAAATTTGGTGCCATTTACCTCAGTCCCGACGCTTGCGACTAAATGCGTCCTTTACGGGTTTCGCCGGATGCATCCAAATGCGTCCCAGCGCATAGCGAGACACCTCTCTCATTTCTATTTAAAAATTGCAATGAAATCTCGCATCCCTCGAGACTTAATGGTGATGGCGTGGTTCAGAGTGATTTTAATTTAAAACTGGAAGTTTTTATCTTGTTTCACTTTAAAACTACTTGTGATTTTATATGTAGCATGTGTATGTCCCAAGTGCCGAAAATCGATTTTTTGGCCATTGTTCGTTATTTTTTCCCCCACTAATGTTATATTTATATTAAACCTTTTTCATTTTTTGTTGCATTTTTTCTTAATGAATGAACATTAAATAAAATGTAGTAGCTTAAATAAATATTTTACAAATGTAAATAAAGTGCAAAATGGAGTTACTTCCCTTTCTCAAGCAAATAAATTAAGTACGGAAGTAGCATTGCAGGAGGGAATGAGTTAAAAAAATCTGCCTCTAAAATAAATGACAAAATATATTTTTACTTGGGTGTGCATCTTTGCTTCCACTGTCTGATAAACGTCTGGGTTTAATAAAGCATTGACAATGTCTTCTTGGTATGGCAGGAATGAGTTGTGGGAGGAGCCACGGACTATTGCTGCCATTGTCATAACAACGCCATGGGATAAGGATTGTCGTAAACCTGTCAAAACCAGCTTCATCCATATGTCGGGCTTGACAAAATACCCCACGAGTTCTGCAGATCGTTGAACCTAATTGTGAATTACAAATTACTTTGAAACATCCATTACTCTACTACGATAAATTCTTTTTAAGTCATAAATATTAAATTTATTTAAAAAAACAACAACATTGTGCCAAAATTGATTTAACTTGGATTTTTCTAGAGCAGAGCTGGTTTTACACATGAAACTGTTAATTTTTAATTTTGAACAGTCCCAATGGATGTCATTATAATTTTAATTATGGAAACATCTATCGTTAGGATATGCTAAAAAACATTTTTATCTTTTCATTTGTTTTTATTTGGTATTAAACTTAGGAGCTTTAACCTATTTGATTTAATTGGATGCATCAAAATTTAAAAATAAAAGACAATAACTTATTTCTGTACTTATACTACCTAATTACATTATGTCCTATCCATATCTTACATCTGTGACCACCCTCTGGTCCTCATCCAGACATGCCTTGTACAAGCCATTTAGCAGGATCTCAATGTGTTGGGTTGTGTACTCTTCAGCATTAATCAGTAGCCAATACAAGAGGGACGCACATTTTACACGTGTCTCCACTACCCAATCACCTAAATCTCTGACAAGACCGGGTAAAATCTTTGACAGGTGACGATGAACAAGAACACGGCAGCCAAGGTTGGGTCTCTCTACTGTAAGTCCACAAAAAAATATAAAACACGCATATACAAAATAATATCAAATGTAATACAGATGGATATATTTATGTGAGTTGAAAAAAAAAAAGAAAAAAAAAAGACAAATGGAAAATGTGAAAAAACTATGATTAAAGAAAACATATCAAACAAAATAGCGCTTACCTCCAGCGGGGTAGTGACAAGGGGCAGGAGCTTGGAAGTCCAATTTATCTTTTAGGTCATCCTCATTCTCTCTTTCATATTTGAGACCTAAACAACAAATGAGCATATTTGTAAGTCACATTTCATACTTCCATTATTCTTTTAAGAAAACACCTTAAAGTTTTTAGATATTCTGATTCTAACCTGCGTCATGCCAAAGACCCTCTGCAAGCTCCCTGATCTCAATTTGGTCATCAGACAAACTGGTCAGCAAGAGAGGAATAAGCTTGTGGTGATATGAATAACGATCTGGAAGATCTAATAGCCAGGCACCAACAACTTGGGTAACAGCTTTACGAACTCCTGGTGTCTGAAAAAATGTATTTCTAGCAATGAGTTTAAGAAAAAGAAATCATATTTGATAATTAAGCCAGTATTGAGAATGATCCAAAAAATGTAACCAATTACGTTTCTTCCTTTCCATTTTTAAAAGAAACGGCAATTATGTAGGTTTTTTAAAAAGGCTAATCTTAAATTTATTACTTGGAATTAAACTTTTCAAAACAGAAGAATTTAAAAAAAATATTTATTTGACTTGCCGAATCAAAGAATCTTTGTGCTAAATGAGGAATTACATCTTCTACAGCCTTTCCATTTCCACATTGCAAAACACTTCCTAGATGTCAACAGATAAATGTCAATTATATTTCTACCAGGAGCTGAGAACTTTCAACTGTTATTAAATCACATTCATATATTTAAGATTTAAATATTTAAAGACAAAAGGTTATTTAGTGATTCTCTGAAACTATTTAAATCAATTTAATGTACAAAATATTTGACTTAAGGGCATAATAATCTAAAATGTTCTAATAATAAGTCTAATATATTAAAATTGATGTTTATTATAAAATATATTAAAAAATATGAATGCTCTATATTTATAAGTTTATACCTATAGTTTCCACAACTGTTATTCTAACTTTTGAATGTTGATGTGAGATGGATTGAAGTAAGGGCTTGATAAGACTATCTGACTGCATATAAAAATGACGAGGTACTATATCAGTTAAAAGTGATGCACATTTGCAGCTTTCTTTTTTTACTTCTGGAAATGGGTCCAATATTGTTCTTTGAAGAATTCTAACACAATCATCTACATAAATACCAAACTTTTCACCACTTTTCTCAATTAAAAATATCAGCATTTCAATTAGATGTGCTCTAATCTCTTCAGATGTTTCAAGAATATCTTGTTGTCCTAATCTTTGAACCAAAACAGGTATTGTGTATGACAAGTAGTCTTCAGGACTGGGAACCTTTTTTAAAAAGCTATAAACTATGCCAATGGAGAGTTCTCGGCATTTCTCCACGGAATCAGAGAACGATTTTAGAAGAGGTTTTATTAATTCAGTGAAGGCTGTTTGCAATTCGTGAGTTTCTAACGGAGGATTTCTGTCTACAGTCTCTTTCTGTATGTTTATCAAAGCATTTCTGCGTGTATTCCTATTCTCTTCCCCCAAACAGTTAATATATCTTGCAAGTCCTTGTTTAGAAGCATTGGAATTTTCGTCTGTGCCGGCCATGATTGTTGATCGCACGCAACGCCTCGTTTTAAAATAACTATGGAATCTCAAAAGTTTGACCAAGACAGTACTAAAACTTCTCTTCAAATTATTCAAATTATTCTGGAACAATATATTCTTTTAAATTTAAATTGTGTATTGGGTTGATGTTCATTTAACATTTTAAAAATCTTTTTATTTTAGTTCTCCTAATGATTTGAAATATTTGGAAGTCTTTATTTTCAATTGCGTTTTTTGGCATTGAGGTAATTTAATAAAAATGCAGTCATAATTTTAAAAAAATAATAATAATAAGTAATTTTATAAATATTTGTTTAATATTAACATCGCCTTTACTAAACCAGTAGGCGTAGGCAAATTATTGCAATTTAAATATAATTCCCTTTATTGAAAGTTTATTAAGGTTGTATCAAAGCCCAATTTTATCATGAACTTCATGACGGTTTCAGCGAGACGTCATTTTTTTTTTTTTTTTAAATTTTAAGCTCTTCCACTAAGGGGGATGAGATAATATGGTAGGTAATATATTTCCCTTTATTGAAAGTTTATTAAGGTTGTATCAAAGCCCAATTTTATCATGAACTTCATGACGGTTTCAGCGAGACGTCATTTTTTTTTTTTTTTTTAAAGTTTAAGCTCTTCCACTAAGGGGGATGAGATAATATGGTAGGTAATATATATTCAGAGGTGACACACGACTTTTCACCACCCCGTGAGACAGACCCACCCTGTGAGTAGAGTGAGACAGAACCATCCTGTGAGACAGAATCAAGGCCAAAAAACAAGGTAATCCCTTTTCTTATTATTAATAGCGCATTTATTCAATTAATTATTTATAGTGAAATAAACTTAAAACCCCATTTTTACCTATGGAACTTTATTAAAAGTATTTTTTTAAAGGAAAATGCCATCTTTTTGTTCCAATTCAACAAAAGTTTAACGAATTGTACGAGATAAAAAAAAAAAAAGTACACTTTCATGAATCTTTTGTCTTTCACGACACCATTGTGGTAATTCAAGGAGAATTCTTCTGTCTTCAAAGATACGTTATAAAAATAGTGGGTGTATCTACTTCTTCTAGATAATCTAGATTAAATTAAAAGTTTATTTATTTTATAACTTAATTTAATTATGTCTAGGTGTCCGATATTTCTTTCTAAACCAGTGATGGGTTTAGAAAAGTTTAAATATTTCAGTATCTCATGTTCTAGGCATCTTGGAATCTTTAGGGCCATCCGTGCAGGACCGTGTGTGTAAAGGTGGTACTCGCTATAGTATGTGCAGTTTCCATGGGCGTCAATATCAGGGGGTGCATTTTTTATACACTTGGGGGTGTAGTTTCAGCCTTCACCCAGGGCACCACTTTTCTTTCGCATGGTCCCGTATCCATTACGGAAGTAACACCTCTAGATTTTTTTGGGACAATATTTGTTAAAATTTTTAATAAAAGAGTCTTTTAAAAAAAAAAAGTGGGATGATTTTGTTGTCAATAAATAGCCTAGTCGGTGACAGAGGGGAAATAAATGGCAATAGCGAAGTGAACACCAGAACAAACATATTACTAATAAAGCAAAACGAATCTGTCTATTTAAATAAAATAACCAACACGGTCTCTCATTTTACTCATCACTAATCAGAGTCAACTTTGGTTTTATCTAAATAATTAAGTCCCTCCTATCGAATTAGATCTGACCAACCACAGGTCAATTCAACTTATTCGCCTACTATGAGATGAGTCACAACTGCCAAGAAAAAGTAATGCCACCTGCATAGGGAGGGGGGGGGGGGGGCAGTCCACATGCGGGCCTTTTTTTCTGTATGTGGAGGGGCGGCATTTTCTGCCACCTAAAGATTTTTTAAATTAAAACAATTATAGTGATAGTGAGCGGCACAACTCTCGACCCGCACAGGGCAGCACTAACCCTCTCTAAGCCACTAAGAGTAAGGCATTCTTTTTTATCTTTAGCTGGTACATCAAGATCATGTGCACCAGCCATGTCTCCGGTTTACACCTTGTAACATAATCCTTGGTCCGCTCCTAAAGTTTCGAATAAAAGAACTTCCGCATCCTAAAAAAAAAATAATAATAATTCCCTCCGCCCACTCACCCTACACCGGAATTAGATTATAATATTGCATTTTTTAATCTTTGTGGGCCCTATTTATCTCTTTACAGATACTTCAACAATAAGGCCATTTGGTTTTTCTACAAGCAAATTCCCTTAAACTTAAATGTGAATTATATGCATTGTCAATATATTAAATGCTTTTAAAAAAAAAAAAATTCACTGTAGATTAACTTAAACAGGTGATTAAATGTGAATATCACCATTTATAAAGGTGATTAAATGTGAAGCTCACCACTTATGGAGGTGATTAAATGTGAAGATGACCACTCCAAGAGGGTGCGTGGGGGTACTTTGCTGTGCGCAGCACTTTATAAGAGGGCGGCATTTTTGGCAAACTGCAGAGGGTTTTTTTTCATGAGAGGATGTGGGAAAATTCTTGGTAAGCTCTGGGTGGCACTAATCCTAGCTACGCAATCGCTCCTACATGAGGACCATAGCACCAAGTTGTTTCAAAATATTTTTATGATTCGAGCCAATGAATTTAAATTGTATTCAAATTTTATATCAAGAAAATGCCTTAAAATCCTGTGGGTAGAATACATAAACGGTATGTTTAACTATTTTATCAAGGCTTAACCATGTTTGCTAAATTTAACTTGGATTTCCGTTTGTGAGTTTTTAAGCCGATAACCGGTCCTTGATTGCAAAAAAACGATGGTTGTTAAAAAAATATTTTCAAAATAGATTAGAAAAATTATGTTATTTAATTACATTAAATTAATTTAAAAAAATAAGTAAACATTTCTTATGTTTTAAACATAGGTAGTCATTAATTATTTGTGATATTTGGTATCAAAACGAGCTCTTCATTGACAACTCTAAAAATAGCTACATTGCCTACATATTTGACTGCCATTTTCAATCTTATAAAATATAATGTCATGCTGTCCTTGATCAATGGAATAATTGGGAATGAATGTTAAAAACTGATAGCAGGTTTAAAACTCATTTAAAAAAAAAAAAAAAAACATACAAAAAACGAACACTGGTTTGCCAGAAAATCCGATTCCGTAGTTAGATCTAAAGGTCATTCAGTTGTTTTTTTTTTTTTTAAATTTGTA